TCAAGTCCCTTCTGAAGCCTCTCGCCAACTCGAGTAGTCTCAGCCCTACCAACCACAACAAGCTGCTGTTCACAAAGGCGGACCGCCAGCCTCAACGCCTCACCCAACTTCTTCATTCTTAGCCTTCACATCAGCTGAGAGCGCCTTCTCTCCCTTTTCTATGCCATGCATAAGGTCATTCAATACCGCTGCCATGTTAGCTCCCTTCTGCCCTCCTTCTCGGAATGCATCACGAACCATCGCTAGCAAAGAACCACCATCGCAACCATTCCACTTCAATGAGTAAACTCACCCATCACTTTATCCTTCGCCGCACTCGAGCTCGCGAACATGTCCTTATCCGCCGAAGAAAGAGAGCGGTCCATAGATAAAAGGACATCCGCGAGGCTCGAACCCGCGCCACCTGATTCAACCCACCCATAAGGAACTATTGTACATACAATACTCTACTTATCGCCTCTGATATCTCCTTCTTAATAGCCGCCTGCTTCTGCCGAGTCTCTTCTGTGAGCTCATGAGCTTGCTTATCAGTATTGGCCGAGTATTCATTCAGCATACCTTCATCATTAATAAGTTCACTACTCACGACCATCAACGCTCCCCCCCCACCTCTCAACGCCTTCATAGAGGTAACCATGTCAGTCGATACCTTTTCTTGATCTCCCCACTCCTTCTCCGTTTCACCTAGCGTCATACTGATTCGCTCACTCAAACTGACAGTAAACTTACGAGCGAAGTTCTCAGCGGTCCGTTGAGACTTCTCATCTGCAGAATCGAACTCCTTCTTAAACGCTTTCTGCAAGATACAAAAACTGCCTATCCCCCTTCCATCGGATGAACTACTTCCCACTCACCTGTTGCTCCTCAACCTTCGCACTCTCCTGTGAGATCTGCGAGTCTATCACGGCTCGTCTCTTCTTCTCCTCACCCTACATCAGCAACAACATAAACTTTCCTTCCATACCACTCCTCGGCTACATCCCATGCCTTCAACTGGTTATCAATCGATGCAGCGCCGTCTTGAACGAAGTTATCGAGTTTCTTATCCCCATCAGCTCTGACAGTTCACACGATACCCTCCCCCACTCAGTGGGATACCCTACTTATAACCCTCTACCAATTTATGCTGCTCATCTTCTGCCTTCATAGCGCTGTCCTCAATCTTCTCACTCAGCTGTTTCCGAACCTTCTCTCTCGCCTCGTTCTGAGCTTCTGGTAGCTCTGCAACCTCATCTGGGAGAGAAAATCGCAATAACAGGCGGAGCGAAGCTAACAATCGGGCGGCAGTTCTCACCCGACAAGCCCGACAAAGCGTCTTCAGCATCATCCAAGCCTTCCGAAGTGACTTTCTCCATCCGTGTCTTCTCAGAATCAGCCTGCTTCACTTCAGCCTCTACTTTAACCTTCGACAACAAGCCTACCACAACAACCTCGATCCCCACCGATCATCACCTGGTTGCTGTTTATAGTGTTGACCATATCATTCAACTCCTTATTCCCATGCTTATTCAGTATAATGGTATTCCTCAGCTGTGCGTCTGATTGTTTCCTAGCGAGTTGAGTTATCCCTTTCAACAACTAACAACGAGCAGCAGTTGCCTTCAATACCAACACGAACTGAACTTCCCATACATTATTAAGAGCAGTAGACATCTCCGATTTGTACTGATCCACATCAGCAACATAACCATAATGAATCTTGTCGAGTTCAGCCCACAGCTCGTCTGCACTTGCGACCTGAGGAAGTCCCCTCCCTCCCCCTCCCTCCCATTCCCTCTCCTACCGCTGCCGAATTGAGCTCGTACATAGCTCCCGACAGAGGCCGACTTGATGCGTGAGGCCTTCAGTCTGGCTCGGTGAGTCCTTATCCGATCCCGGCCCATCTGAGAGCGGTAGACAGTACCACTGACGACCAATCGTCGATCTCGATCACTCACATGTGTAGCCCATAAGCTTATC